TTCTACTTTGTTCTAGAGCTGTGCCACGCTATAATTCGCTCAACTATAACTCAGCGCATGATTGTACTTCATGCTGTTGGTGTTACCGTTGTCATTGTTGTTGTTGTTGCCATTGCTATTGTTGTCTTCAATGTTGACATAGATTTTCAATTAAAGTGATTTTAACCTGTTCTACGTGCTTTGTGAGCGTTTTTCGTGCAAAAGTCTTGTTTTTGTTGTTGACCGCTTTGTTATTGGTGTATATTGTTGATGTTGTTGTTGTTGTTGCTGCTACGGCATGAGTATGCATTATTTTCCTGCATTGTTTTCGCATCACAGGCTTATTGTGGTTCTTGTTATTGTTGTTGCAGTAGCGACTTCCGTTGCAGCAGCCTCAAAGGTATACCAATGTCTTCTTGTTGTTGTAGCTGTTGACCTTTTTCTCAAAGTTTTACAAACATTTCTGTTGCGGCTTTAAAAAAAACAAAACAAATAAATTGCAACAAAAACAACACTGAAAAGTAAATCAAAAACAAAAGTAATTGTAATTGAAGAAAATGGACAAAGAATCAATATGAATGGAGATCGATGAAGTTGAAGAAGAAGACAAGAAGAATCAGAAGAAACAACAACTGTGCATGCTGGGAAAGAATGACCTAGAGTCGCGGGATGGAGACATACAAATTGGCAGTGGAATGTAATTGAAAAGTCACAAAAGAAAAAAAAACGTAAATGCTGAAACAAAAACAATATCACAGAAGTGTTCTACGGCAATAACAACAACAACAACAACAATTACGATGTCAGCGGCACACAACTTCATTATTGCCAAACAATCAGAGAGAATCACTTAGAAACACTACGCAAAAACACGGAGACACCATGAAAACACTACAACTACAACTATAGCTACAACTACAACTACCACAACAACAACAGTAGCACGACTAGAGAAACGCAAGAAGAAGAATGACATACCGAAAAAATAGAAATAGCAAAAACAATAAAAAACAACAAAAAAAAACACTGACACTGTTACTTTGTTCGATTGTTCTTTCCACTACTTTCAAATCACCTTACCTTTGCAGATTGCGTTTGTTGTTGTTGCTGTTGCGAAACGGCCACAAAAGCGTTGATCCCTACAGTAAATCGATTAGCCCAGTTGCCTAGAAAATGTGTAAATGGCAAAATCTGTTGGCTGCTCTTGTTGTAGTTGCAATTTTTATGGCCGTTGTTAATATTGTTGTTGCTATTGCCTCCTTCACCTAAAAAGAAAAGTACCAAGTAGCATAATAAACAAAGTAAAAACAAAAACTCAACTCAACGAGAGAAAAGTAGAAACATTGCAGTACAACAACAACTTAAACGACAGCAACAATTTCGTAGTAGACTAACAACAAATATTGACGACTAAAATGTCGGTTAGAAAGGCAACAACCCAAAAAATAAGAACAGTAGCTGCAGCTGTACATATTAACAACGACAACAACAACAACAAAAGCAACAACGGTAAGTGTGGAGTAAGTCAAGTGTTTGTGGCAATTGCAACAGCCTACATACATACATGCATAGGAGTATACAGGTATGTGCTTATACATATATCTGAAATTTCATGTCGTAAATGCCAAAGTTGAATTTTCAATTTGTATAAAAGAGTGCTTTTTGGTTTAAATTTTCAAAATTTATTGAAACATTTTGCGAAAGCTTAGCTTAGATGTAATGTATGTATGTATGTATGTCTTATTTTCGGTATGAAAATTTTACAAAATTTAAAAGTTGATACCATTAAGCTTCTCACCCGCTAAACTAACTTGTGAGATTGCCTGATTACAATCTAACTCGAGTTAAGCTTTTATGACTTAAAGACACATATACAGGCAAACTTGAATAAGGAGTATGCATGTTGCATGCAACACACGCGGTTCGACGGCATCACTTCATTGGCAATACATTGGCAAAAAAACATTTTTCACCTCACTGAGCCCTCGAGCAGCCCGTCTTAACAACTATCCATGTAACTAAAATCCTGAATATGTACATATGTATGTATGTTTATTCGAATTTGACTATAGTTTTAGTGGGTGCAGAATTCGGTTTGAGGTTTATGAAGCGATGCATGAAATTGGTTGATAAAACTCAAAAAAGAAAGAAAAAAACACGAAAGTCGACGCTCAGCGAATTACTCTCTCTTTCTCTTTATCTTTCTCTTTCTCTCGCTCTCGTTTTTCATTTGATTCAGAAACAATGAGTAAATTTATCAAAGTAATGTGTGTACTTTTATTAACAATAAATGTTGGTAGTGCAAGTGTATTTAATATTTTTTATTTGAATTTTTAAAGATTTATATTAGAAATAAATTTTGAAAAATTAATTTTAATGCATTTCCGTTAAAAATTTTGATTTCAATTCTTTAAAGTAAATATCGTTGCCGATTAGCGAGTTCAAGGTCACTTTAAATAAAAATCTCTTAATTGAATTTACCCAAACAACAAAAGTGAATTTTTTGTTCTCATCAAATTGCTTGCGGCTGGGTTCGAATCACGGATCCTGACTTAACAAAATATTTAAAAAATATTTTCAATTCCTTCAAACACTTTAAGCAGAAGTAAAGTGCACAAATATACATAAATATGCATATGTATATGTATATGTAGTTGCAAAATACGTAACGTAATGTTCCAGCAACATTGGAGAAATATTGCTGTCGCGGGAGGACTGCTAAATGTTGCTACTGCTTGTTTTGTAACGGTTAATATGTTTTAGAAAAGTATGTAGCAATGTAACGAAACGGTTAAACGACATGTTGCTGCGTAAATGTTGGGTAAAATAAAACGCTCACTTCTCGACTAAACCGTTATTTTAATACTAAATGGAATTCTTTATGAAACATAATTAAATTTTCTGGCAAATTATTGGAACAACCAAATTTCACTGGACTATAAGGTAGATTCATATCGACTCCCCATCAAAGTTCTTCAAGCTTCTAGCGCGTAACGAGAGATGCATGGGGTCTGATGAAACTCAAGTCTCCTTCTGGTCCTCTTGATTGTCAAATCTGGCGCTCACTTCCATCAGACGGTTCAATAACTGGCAGTACAGGTCGGAATTAAGGGCTTAGCCATAGGGAGGCAGCTGACTGATCTTTATTCACGACCGCTTTCGTTTGATGTTGCTGTAAGTGATCCACTTTTCATCATCACTCACAAATCGCTTTATATCCGATCCTCCGCGCCCCGGAACATCAAACATCAAAACTGTGCATGATAGACTGTTACAATATCAACAGCATATAAATACTATTCATTTTCATTCTGAGTTCCGCTTTTGTCAATGTCGAAAATAAACGGTAGTAATTTTTTAAAGTTTAAAAACTGATGTGTTATTTAAGAATATGCGAACTTCGAACAAATCGAACCAAAAATAGATTCCTTTGAACAACTCGTGTCCGGAAATTCCACATACTAAACTTTGAAAAGGGCTACATAAGTTTCAAATAGATATAAGATTCAAATAGATAGAATTTTAGGAACCAAAAATTTAATTTGTTTTATGGTCCACATCCGGGAAAGAAGAAACTGCCATATATTAACCCAGACATAAAGCTATTGATTATCGAATTGATCGTTATTGAAAAGAATACTTCCCCCATTATAATCTAGGAAATGAGCTTCTATGTTCTAAAAAACCAAACATATCAAACCATGGATACGATCTTGGCGAGTAGCTCACTTCCAAAAAGAATATGTATTTCTCATGTTTATTTGGGCCAAATTTTTTTTGAATCCAATGGTTTAGATAAAAAACTGATCCGTATTCCAGAAAATTCCTTCTTATCAGATGCCTACGTCGTACGCAGAACACACCATCGAAGTATTAGGTCTCTACGAATAGTGATGTAGGCTGTGGGTTCGTTGGGACGAAGCCTGCTAGAAAGGTCAATTAACGGTATATAGCTTAGCCTTCTACCGTTTGCTTTTTGAACTGTGGCTTATTTCAGATAGTTTAATTTATGTAGTGACAACGCCTGCTTAGCCCTGGGTTTTTTTAAGTAAAGCAGGAGCCGGTTCTCTGCATATCAAAAATATAACTTTAAATGTTAAAAGCTTTTAAACTATAAACTAGCGCGCATAAACTTTAAACATTAACATTAAACAGAACATTTCCAAAAAAAAAAAAAAAAAAGCAACAGGCTCCACACTAAAGTAAATCCTAACATTCTAATAAAAATGAATTTCATGAAAAAAATTATATTAAATGTGTTTTATTTACGTTTATTTTCGAAATCGCAAATTGCTTAACCCTTTATTATACCAAAGAGCTAACCTCTAGAAAGCAACTGAAATCAAAATGCGATTATTAAAAACTAAAACTTCTTAGGAATGCTCAAAAACAAATAATATCATGAATTTCACAATATTGCCCAGCAACTTGGGTAAATGTTGCATAAACATGTTGCTGTAGTCAAGAGAACAAATGAAACCACCACCACTGTCAACATTGGCCGCTGTTGGCTTCCAGTGAGCACAGCCGGCTCTCAAAACTCTGTCAGCTGTGTTAAGCAAGCTAGAGAGAAGTCTCCAAGTGGTGTACTCACTAGAGTTCAACCAAGCATAAGCACACGCACACACGTGTAATCCACAGCTCGCTTAAGCAGTTGCAGCTGAGCGAGACATAGTCCTGATTGCAGTGAGCGGCTTTTGTTTGGCAACAAACACACTAACTCACTCTCCATGATGCATACGGCAGCGTGGCTGCTACAATTCATGCTGTTTCTCGCGACGCTGCAGCCAGATTTTTACTCTACTCGTGCTTCACACGTCTGTTCGGCGCTATCAACTTGCCATCGATGAATGGTCGTCGTCGCCTCTGCCATCATCGTCGCTGCCATCGCCGTCGTCGTCGTTGTGCTGTAGTGCAGAGCATTTGAGTTTGCGTTTAATTCATTTTTCTTCAGTCCACGACGATTAACCATGCCGAGCGGTTGGGTGTATTCGTGCAAGCGGCGTTGTTAAATTTTTATTGCCAACTTTAATGAAATCATAATTAAAAGTGAGCTAATTAATTAGTAGCAACAATTTGAAAATGAATGTGAAACATAAGCAAGCGAGTAAAAATCAATGGATTTGCAAAGCGTAAGTGATAAATATCTAACGGTGTTTAAAGCAAAGCGAAATAGATTGTGCAATACATACACGAATGAAGAATTGATTGAAAATTTTACTAAAGAAATTTTGTGTGAAGAATTTCGGGAATATTCGTGTAGTTTACTGAATGAATGAAATTCCAAATGAACGACAGCGTGTCGAAGTAAAAATCGTTAAAGGCGAAATTGTGCCAAACGAAGCCAAGGCTGCCGAAGTCGGAGTAAGGCAAATAGGCTGACGGCAAACTGGCTGTTAGACAGACCGTTAGCCAGTCAACAAGCTAGTAAAGTAACGCGCATCCTTTTCGGGCAATGAATTTTCAGCAACACGCTGACGTCGACGAGTCAAAGCGGATGTGAAAATTTCGCATCCGCCAACTGCGGTGGGCAGCGGTGCGTCTTACGAGTGTCAGTGTTTGTTGTACGTTGTGGAAACGGGCGCTACTTTTACGCCCCAAATCCGTTAGATAAACGTGACCAAACGTCAAATTGTTGGCTGCCAACAGAAAATAGTGTTATACAAATAACGCACTGTATGAAAAACAGAACGTAAAAAAGTGTAATATAAATTCGCGTGCGTAAGGAAAAAAATTTACTAAAGATTTGCACGCGCTACAAAGAAATCGCATGCAGAGTGAGCTGCCCTGGAGGCACGATATCGAACTTTGGCTGCCGAAAATAACTAAGTGTTGAACTCAAATTATTTTTGACCAAAAGTATGCCTCTGTGTGTATATAGCACGTCCTTTAGGCAAATCTGAGTGTAGACAAAAAAAAAACGTATTCCGGTGGTCTGAGGATTCGTTAATTGCGTTGAAACATGAAATTCGCACGTTGATACATGAACGGGCCCAACGGACTCACGGACAGCACATTGCGACACGCCACATGCGGATTTTTTTTTTTTTTTAATACACGCGCAAAGCACGTCCTTTCACTCACGAAACTTTTTGAGATTAATCAATTTCAGAAAACATTTACCAGCCGAAAATATAGTAAAAACGTAGGCGCTGCTTCTATAAAGCAACAAAAATATAAGAATAAAAAAAATGTGAAAAGAAAGAAATACTTATGAATTAATAAAAAATTAAATAGAAATGTAAATGTGAAATGAAAATTAAATGTGTGAAAATCATGTCGAACGCACATAAAAACTGACGAATTTCGAGTATTGTGAAGAAGCGCTGAACGCCAGACTGGCAACTGAACCCAAACACACTCTTATACATACATACACATATCACAGACACACATCAATCACATATGCTATTTATTACAGACATAACATTCAAACAAAAACCCTAAAGGAAAAATAGAAAATATCGAAAAAGTAAAAAATAAAATAAAAAGCGGTTTGAAAAGCAACGACAAGGACACGCGAGCGTTTTGTTAATTAAAAAGTTGAACACGTGTGAAAAGCAAATACAAATATACAAATACTCAAAAGCTACGTGAAACATATAATTACAAGGCAATCCTTTCGCGTGAAGGATAGAAAAAAATATTAAAATAATTAAAAAATAAAGAAAATAAAATGAAAATAAACAAAGAAAAGTGTAAAGCAAAACCAAGAGCAAACCACGCGTGAATCATTAACTTTGATTTTTTACGTACACCTTCTCATACAGGGTTTTCGCTGAAAAGAATTCTTCAGGCGGTAAACCAGCAGGTCTTTCGAAAGAGCAAAAATAAACAAAACTACTTTCAATTTTAATATTAATTCGAAAAAGCATTAATCCACGACCTTCACTTCACATAATCACACCCCACACTCTTTCTATTCCATCATTTAGCTCTAGCGTGAATTGCGTGCAGGACATTTTTTGTTTTTTTTTTTTTTTTTGAGTGGAAAAATATTAATAATTAATTAATACCAAAGCAAAATCAGACAGAATATTTGACTTATTGTCGCAAAAAGGCACGCAAACGAAAGCAACAACAACCAAAATAATAAAAAGAAAGTGAAAAAGTATAAACAATGCTCTACATATCCTGCATATCCTTGTAAAGGCTAGCAAGTAAACCCTAAAAAATATATATTGTGCGTGTGTGATCTACGTGACTAACACTAACACCAAAAGAAGAATTCATGTCACGCTAACACAAACAACAACACGAACAAGTGAAAAAAGGAAAACTAAATATCCTTTCCATGAAGAGACAAAATTCGCATTCATGTGTACGTACAATAGTTTAAGCACACATATCTACCAACAACAACGACATATCTACTATCATCTGTAACAGCTGAGGCATCAGCAGCAACAGCAAATATGCAAAATCAACAAGAAAAACAACGCGATACTGCCCATCGCTCCGGTCAGCGTAGACACACCACGTCACAGCACCGTCAGCATCAACCAATGACATGCCGCAAGCCATACCGGCGTATCAAATTTCCTGCCACAGCTCGCCGCACGCCACCGCTATACCTCTGGCCACTGCTCTTCTGCACTCTCCTGCTCACTGACCAGCCACTTGCGTCGCTAGCCACTCGCTTCAACCGACAGAGCACAGCGCACATTTCATACGGCGCCGGAAGTAGCGGCAATAGTCTGCCCTCGCCACACTTTCCACCACTCGACGCCAACACAGTGTATGCAGGCAGTTCCAACGTTGGTGCTGGCAAGCACCAAGCCAACATGAACAATGATGTCTATTCGGTGGCCGATAGTCAAGCTATGACCGATGATTATATGGCCCAATATGGCAAGCCACCTGCTTCGCCTGCGCCACCACCACCGCTACCGGCACTACCGCCGTATCTGACGCACACGCATGGACTTGGCGCCGACAACACACTGGTTATACACCAACAGCAGCAGCTGAGCAGCTGTCAGACGGTGTGCGCGTGCAAGTGGAAGGGCGGCAAGCAAACGGTTGAATGTATCGATCGCCAGCTCATACAAATACCGGAGAATATCGATCCGTCGACGCAGGTGCTCGACATGTCGGGAAATAAGCTACAGACGTTGTCCAATGAGAAGTTTATACGCGCGAATTTGCTGAATTTGCAGAAATTGTATTTGCGCAGTTGTAAAATTGGCGAGATCGAACCGGAGACATTTAAGGGACTGACTAACCTCGTCGAACTAGATTTGTCACATAATCTATTGGTTGTGGTGCCTTCGTTGGCGCTCAGTTATATCTCCTCGCTGCGTGAGCTGACACTCGCTTCCAACCACATACACAAGATCGAATCGAACTCGTTCGCTAGTACGCCTGCGTTACACAAGCTGGATCTGTCACACTGTGACATACAGTCTATAGCACCGCTAGCTTTCGAGGGCTTGGAAAGTCTCACATTGCTACGGCTCAATGGCAACAAACTGGGCGTATTACAACCGCGCACAATTGAAACGTTGAGTAAACTACATGGTATTGAGCTGCACGACAATCCTTGGCTTTGCGACTGTCGCATGCGCGACGCGAAACTTTGGCTGACGCAGAAGAACATACCATATCCTGTGGCGCCTTTGTGTGCTGGTGGACCTGACCGTGTTATTGATCACACATTCTCTGACCTGCAGGTGGAGGACTTTGCCTGCCGACCGGAAATGTTGCCCATCAGTCACTATGTCGAGGCGACAATGGGCGAGAATGCTTCAGTGGTTTGTCGCGCCAAAGCCATACCAGCAGCTGTCATTAATTGGTATTGGAATGGCCGACTACTGGCGAATAATAGCGCTTTCAGTTCCTATCAGCGCGTGCATATCTACGAGAACGGACACTTCGAGAAATTTTCACGTTTGGTGCTCACAAACGCACAGGAGACAGACTCCAGCGAGTTCTACTGTGTAGCGGAGAACCGTGCGGGCACAGCAGAGGCCAATTTCACGCTACATGTGAGTATGCGCGCCGCTGGCATGGCATCGCTGGGCAGTGGACAAATTGTAGGCCTCAGCGCTGCACTGGTTACGTTAATCGCATGTATTTTGCTGGCGGTGATGTTTCTATTCATGCGTGTCAAACGCCAGCCCTACACCGAAAGCAAAACCCCAAACCACATGGAAGTTGTGACGAGCGTAAACCATCAAAACTCTATAACGAACAAAACTCAACCCATAACGGGAAATGGCAGCATAGGTGGCGTCGTTATAGCTAACGGTGCCATACCTAATTGCATTGATGGCACGAATACTTTGGAGCGGAAGAGTAGCGCGGCAATGGCGGCGAACGAGGCGGGTTTCGCAAATCCTGTGCAGAAACCACCACGCCTTACCGACCTGCCCTATTCAGCCACTGGTTACGACAACAACGGTAGCGTTTTATCAACTGCGCCGTGCTTCCTCTCCCCTACGGCATCGGCAGGCAATAATCCAGATCTCATTAATGATACAAAACGTTTTGGCAGCGATGAGTTTGCTGATCTGAAAATACCAGCCATACTGACGGCGAATCTAGGCACCGAACTGGGCAATTCAAGTGGCGAATATAGTCGCGCAGGTGGTTGTGACTCGCTCTACCCCTCAGGGCTGTGGGAGCATACGCCAGCAGGCACCTCCTCCGCAGACGATCTCTTCATGAAGCGTTATACAGATAAAACACCCATCATCGAGTCGAATCAGCTTTACGACCTACATGAACGCACCGTTGACTATTTCAGTAAGACATTCCCACGTACACACTATAACAATCTGCAGCTCGCTGGGAGCAGTTCAAATGGCAATAGCAGTAACGGTGTTGGCGTCAATAACATGATGCACAATCCTTCCACGTCATCGGCGGCGATGCTACACAACTCGAACAGTGGCATGGGCGGCACACATTCGACAGCCTCCACAACCACCACCAATCTTTCGGGTTCCAGCGTTGGGGTCAGCGGCGGTGGCTATCCCAATGACTACGGCCTGCCGTTGGTGCCTGGGGCAGAACACCAACACAATCATCATCTGCAAATGCATCCATTACAACAACTGCAGCAGCATATGACAGCGGCAGCGGCGAGTCAGCATGGCAGCGGTAGCAGTAGCAACCACAGCATTCCACACTTTAGTAGTCGTACACTGCCACGCCTACATGAGCATAACGGCAGCGGCAGCAGTGGCAGCAGCAGCGGCGCTGGACTCAGTAGTTCGAGATCTTCACCAACCCCAGCGACGGTGGCGACTGCAGTGACGCAAAACGGCACAGGTCAGGCTCACACATCGATATTGCCGAACGGACAGCCGGTGAATGCAAAGACAATACGCGTGTGGCAGAAGGGCGGCGTGCCAGTGTTGCCACCGGTGACGGCGCTAAAGCGAGCGCTGACGAGCAACAGTCGCAACTCGCCGGATGAAGGTTACCAAGAAGGCTGCGGCACTGATGTGTAAAACGAGCGCAAGAGAGCATGGACTGCGGCGTTACTGGCTACTTTGTAGGCGTATATGAGACTTGTAACTGATAAGTTGAGTGTAGCGAAAACACAAATTTGTATTTTTTTATTTGAGAATTGTACATAAGTTCGTTTAGATTTATAACCTGTAATCTTTTCTGTAAAGTTTTTTTTATAGTTTAACTTGTAAATTTTATTTAATTTTATATAATATTATTAACTTCAAAGTTTAACATCTTATTCTGAGAACCATTTGGGTGAACCGAATGAGCGTTGATCAAGCATGCATTTAGGCGCGAAAGTTCGGACAGCAATGCAACCCTAAGCGAGAGTTCACAGAATGAGGCTAATAATTTAAAAAACTTCTTCAATTAAAATTTTTGTAAAAGTTTATTTTATTAAAAAAAAAAATCTTCGTGCACCAATACTTATACGATCGACTGCGTGTGGGAGGAATGATGACGAAATGAATATAGATTTTTGTACTGAGCAGCTACGCTCCAAACTCAGCCTACTGGGTAAATGTGTGTGTGTGACGGAGCGTAGATTTGCATAACTACTGCTGCTTTTGCAACTGTGCAAGTGGCGTATAAAACATGAATGTGATAGTGTTTGAGTAATTCATAACTAAAGATAATAATTGGAAAATGTGTAAAAAATAGTATGTTTCGTCAAAGCATAGGCATACATAGAACTACATAAGTCACAAAGTAAATGAAGAATTTCGAATGCATAACTACAAGTATACTTTTAGGCTTAATGCATGTACATATATAGTATAAAAGAAAGATATGATAAGTATGAGAAATTCACGTAATTAAAAATTAAGTTAAATTTAAAAATAAAATCAATAATGAAAAAATGAAAACTTTTACTAAAAGTAAAAAAAAAATGAGATCACAGTGTTTCAAAGTTGTGTGAAGAAATTTAAATGTAAATTGTATTAAGAACCATTATCGAAAAAATTAAATATTATTTGTGTGAGAAAAATCAACGCATTGACTGAAAAAAAAAAACGATAAACTAGGAAATTAAAAATAAAAATCACTAGAAAGTAAATTTTTGTGGCAACAAATCGATTTCACTTTTTGCTTGGAAGTTCAGCGTGCACCCAAAATGCGGCGACACAAATAACTACGCAGCAGTTACTCAGCACTCGTAGTTTGCTCGCTGCTTTGGCAGTGTTGATACGCAATGTAAGTTGGAAAACAATAAATTCTTGCATTCAAAGTACTTTTGTGACTAGATTCTCTGCATTTTTTCAGACCAAAGTTTTCCATTCGATTTTTTTAATTTGACAACTTTCAGTATTTTTCATGCCGCACAAACTAAATTATGTGGCAGGTCATTTGAGTTGTGTACCAATGTGAGGTGAAAGCTTCTTTGGTTGATTTAAATAAATAACTTCATGTAGAATAATAAACGAGAATAAAGGTATGTAATATTGTTTTAGGTTTTTTTTTTTTATTAGCATTGAAACTTAAATTTTATGTATATTTTTTGTATGGGATCATTTTATCAGGAAGTCAATCATAATTCGTCTATCAACAGAAGAGATTTTACATATACTCAGACTTTTATATAATATTGCTTTTAACCAAATTCAACTTGATATTCTTCAAAAAGAAAATTATTCATTACTCCATTACAAAATAAAATATCGAGTCCAAAATTAAAAAAAGCAGTCATCCCTCGGCAAGAAATGTATGTTGTGGCTTCAAAGAAAAACGTATTTAAACAAATTTGTATAGATAATTAAAAATGGTTGTCAAAAAAGTGACGTATTATTAAAATAATTTTAGGTCGCTACCTAAATTTTTTTTTTTTTTTTTAAGAAATCTAATTCCTACTTCACACATCTGAAAAAAGGCTTGACTAAACTTCAGCAATTATTTTCATAAATTTCTCATTTGAACAAAATACAAACGATGGCATTTGATCACTGTTAACTACTGTGCTCACGAAGGCCAATCATTCTGTATTAAAATTTTGAACATCTTATTCAATTCTAGAACCAATTTTAACGAAGAACCCGAATTTGGCGAATAACGTGTTTATTAAGCAGTCATAATTTCGTCATCGCTTTAACGGAAATAAAGATGTTTACTTTTCTTACTTTTATTTAATCTATTTTTGATATATTTTCATAAAGTTGTGTGCTCTCTGAGCATGGACAAATGAGAACCGAACTTCAATATTTCACTTGATAGAAGCTTCTTCTATCTGCTGAGCTGACTGGGCACTTCATTTCCATTTAAGTTAACTCCGAGTAGTCTAATTGATGTGTTCAAGAAAAATTCCACTATCAGCTCCCTTCAATTTGGATTATTTTGGTGGGGGAAGATTTATTATTATGCGATCCATTTTTTTTTTTTTTTTTCAACAATTATTGTGTTTCATAAAGGGATTCTTTGCGATGCAACTTGCAAATCTGGTTTTGCTTCAACAAATTTTGATTGGCCTTAGTAACTGCTGTAGTGCCTTACACCATTTTTCTCTAGTAATTCACTTTTATACGATAGCCAGATGCATAACTTCACGGTTCCAAATATTATTATTTAATTACCGAAATATTTATTGCTTTGACCATTCAAGGTTATTTGCATCTAAAAAGAGTGTTTCAGAACACGAAATTAGGCAAATTTAAAAAAAAAAATTGCTAAAACGCGACGAAAGGAAAGGATTTTCAAATTATATTTTGAAATCTCAAGCCCAAGAGGTAAAAAATATACATGTATTTGGTTTTTCTTTAGAAGTATAAAGTGAAGCTCAAATGATCTATGCATGCTTAATCTAAGCCATGTATATATTTAATGTTCATGATTTAATTTTTTAATTCAATGCTACGCGAAATGAAATGCTGTCGTTAATGTTAAATCATTAACAGATAATGTTAACTGTTAAAATTGCAGTGAACTGTTAATATTATTGCAAACAGACATTTTAAAACTAAGGTAAAATATAAGTTTGTGCGGTTTTAACACACTAACAATTCAATTTCGTTCCGATATCATGTTGCCGAAGCTAAACCAAATTAAGGAGATATTGAAATTGAAATCTTCATGATATCTACCCTTAAAATGACTTGTTAATACGGCATTTTCACGACAGCCCAATTACGTGTTTCGCTCTCTCAATCGTGATTCGTGAACGAATTACAGTAAAAGTGTGTAATTCATTCTCACTTGCCATGCAAATTACGACCAAATCGTTGCCTTCTCTAATTCTTATCGAAATTTTATCGAAACCTGCGGACAAATCAAAACAAAAGAGATGAAAATCATGGAAGAAAACACTAATACGCAAACATTTATTTGAAACCAAACTGACATTACATTACCACTTCATTTTTGAGATTTCGTTAACTTCTACCAAAATCTTTCATTTTCCATGCGTTTTCAAATGCAACTAACAAGCGAGACCGAAAACTGTCAAATTTCGTGCGGTGTGAATGGGCGTAATTCGCATTCGTAATTGAGAGGACGTGGAAATGCCGTATAAGCTATTTCTACGCGATAACTCGAAAATTAAAACCAATATTCGCAACAAGCTTAAATATTTGCATTTAGCCAAACAACTATTGCTCAGAATTATTCTAATCCACTCAAGTCCAGAAGTGGATCTTTTGCTGCAAACTTGTGTAATTATTGAGAAAAAGGTACAGACTTCATCTTCAAATTATAGATTAAAAAAAATGTTAATATAATAAAATAAAATAGTCGCTCTGGAAATATAATAAATTAAAAAAATAAAGAAACTTAAATATACTGACTATATTTTCTGTTTGCAAAAAAGGAAAACTTTCTCTTCATATATTATATATAATATTTCATTTTTCCGTAATTCTCGGCTAACCAGCAACAGTTTTTAATCAAAAAATTCTGAAATTTTCAAAAAGATTTCATTTTTCCATAATTCTCGGCTAACCAGCAACAGTTTTTAATCAAAAAATTCTGAAATTTTCAAAAAGATTTTTTCAATGCTTGTTTGAGTTCTGAAGATTCATTTGTGTGACATAAATCAATGAAAACCGATACGCATTAAAAGGCAATTAAATTTCAATTCGACTGCGAAAGAATGGATTCAAAATATTGAGTTTCATTTCAATGGAATTTAATTGTAACGCAATATCTTGTGAAAAAAATCAATAAATTTACAAAACCTCAACTGATTTTATTCAGCATTTCACAAGTCTACCGTAAATTTCACCTCACATTGGTATATCTGCATTATCTTATGCATATGTTGTCGCTTTTCTCAGTGAAAATATTTTCTTTTCAAATGTTGACGAATTTGATTCCTAATAAAAATAAGTATTCTGGTGTACACTAGCCGAAAGTTAGATATGTGTGTATACTCGTATAGTATAATATTAATGAAATTCTGCACAAAACTCCAACAAAAACAAACTTTAAAACTTTTATTATGTACAGTTCCAGCACGAAAGATTATTAACTAAGTTAGTAAAACCAATAATTTAATGGAAAATAAATAAAAGAAATGAAAAATGATATTTGACTCTTTTTATATTTTTATATAAATTTTTCGAAAAAAGGTAAATACTAGTATAGTTAGTTTATACTATGTATGTATATATGTACATATATTATTTTTCTTAATTAAATAAATAGTTTCAAAGTTGGCTAACATACACACACAGACACATACACAGTGCAAGAGACAGAACAGCGTCGTACTTTTTCTTATACACAAACACATTTACATGTGTATGTATAATATATATGTGCTGAGAAGAGTACATGCAAGTGCAGAAAGTAAATATTGACTCATAACTTTCACAACTAAAATGTGGGAAAAAAAACATTTGAGTAGCCAAATGAACATGTAAATGTATACAGATTTGTGCGGGAAGAGAAAAAAGGTTTGAAACCAAATGGAAAAACGTAAAGAAGTAAAAATAAAATATTTTTATAGCATGCTTAGTACATAAAGACAAATTTAGTGTAATTAAGAATGTGGTACACGATAAGTCTGTAAATACATTACATACATATAAACATGCGTGAGCATAAATAACTGAAAGCAGGAAAGCGTAGTAGTCTGTTGAACTAAGCAGAGTACACATACATACACGTATATACATATACATGTAAACACACAGATGCAAATAATAATTCTGCTTTGCATGATGTCAGATGGCAATACACACATACAAACATACACTTAGATGCGTACGTAAAAAATACAAATATTCGCATATCTGTGCAACATCCACAGAGACCACAAGTATTTACGATTTTAGTGCAAGAAATCGAACAACGCTTAGGTAATAACCGTAAAGTAAAAAATGTATGGCATAAAATCCGACAATACACACACAAGGAAATGCACACAAACAGCGTCAACCAAATTTACCTAAACAATTTTCATATTAAGATTTGAATACGTGAATTAAAAAACAAAAATATATAAACGGAAAGAGAAAGCAAAAAAAAATCAGAAAAAATTTATATTTTCAATATTCTTCAAATATTCAAAAAAAAAAAAAAATTAAAAATGAAATGAAATGTTTAATTCGAATTTTTTGCATTTTTATGGGGATAATTTCTTTAGGATTGGTCTGGTATATAAAATATATAAATAACAATTTCCTGTGTACAACATAAAAACCAAAAACACAGACTCACTCGTACGTAGGCATATAATAATAACGATTGTGACATAACATTTTAATAAAGAAAGCCCAGAGTCCCTTTTTGTAAATTCTATTTGACTGTGTGTGTAAAATAATTAAAAGAAAAACAAAATCACAAAAAAAAAATTATTTTCGAATTATAGTTGGACAAATAAAAACCCTCGCCGATTCTTGCGCTCAAAATGATTGTCACATAAAAAAAAATA